GTCACGAGCCGCAGGGTTTAATTTGGTTTTGTTTGTTTATGTTTTTTTTTATTCTCATCCACTTCCATTATAAGACTGACAGACTGCAACGGTTTGAGTTAAAAATCTTCGTTTGTGTTCTACTGAAGAAACAAAGTCACCTACATCTTGGATGCCCTGGGGGGTAAGCAGATAAACATCAAATTTTCATTTTTGGGTGAACTATCCCTTTAACCAAAGGCTCTACGCAGAATGGTATTCACCCAAAATTCATAACATAACAGACATAAAACCCAACATAACAACAAACAACACTAACAGATCTCCCCTTATATTAATCGTGTGCAAAAAAACAAAACAAATAACATTTAATTTCAACATTTACACTCCCATTTAATCTCAAGAAAAGCATGCTGGGAGCTAGAAATCTGCTGTAATGTATTCCATTTGAGTTCGTCTTAATATAATCAGTTACTGAGTTCACATATCTATCAAGTGCAAAGAACTTTCAGTAATATTTGAGTAAAATGAACTCAATTTAATAAACTTGACTGTTAGGTTTGACAGTGTGCCATTTTTCTTAATCTGAAAAGAGGCTGACAGTCCTAACACAAGTGATTGACAGCAAAGATCTGCAAATATGCATGTTAAAGATGTAATGGACAACCAAGTTGTTGACTGCTCCTTTGTTCACAGCACGTATCAACCTCTTTCGATTCAATTCCTTTATGAGTCCTGAAATCTTAGGGGAGTCAGTTGGTTATAAAATGTGGTTGTGTAACTCTTTCCTATACCGACACCTCCTAAATATTCAACAATTAAGCTCAAATACCACTTTCTAACTAAATAACAGCCTAATCCGTGCACACTGCACAATGTGATGACCTTTTGCGGCATTATTTCTTATCAAAGTAATCATACAGGGTTAGTAATTAAGAGGTTTAATACTATTAAGTAAAATGTTTACAGACAGATAGACAGATAGATAGATAGATAGATAGAGAGTAAACAAACTTTGTGAATGCTCATTTGAATCCCCTAGCGATAATTCTGAAACCAAAGATTAAAGTTGCACATTTGCCCATCTAAATTTTGGTCAATGTATAATCATAATGATCTGTATATTAAACATACTATGGACAAACAACACGGAGAACATTGCAAACACATATATGGATGTCTTACCTTTGTGCTAACGATACATAAACAGTCCATTCTTCAGAGTGCGACCTCTCAGCATCTCATTCCAGCTGCTCTAATCCTGTCGCTAAAATATGCGAATACATGCATGAAAGCATTGGGCGCGCGACAGGAACTTACTCTCAGTTGAGCAAACAACATACGCATCCACATACTCAAAGAAGTCAAGTCTGCATCACCTCAGGTTTCCTTTCCGCGGCAGTGTGTCGGGGATGCTGAGGAGGAGGAGGACGCCTGCAATCATATTGACGCGCGTTCAGAGTTGATAGGAGCACCACGGGGAGACTGACCAGCATAATGTGCTCCCCTCACCTCTGAATGCGCGCACTCCAACAGCACGTCACTGTGTGGGTTAAAACGCCTCTGCCCTGCAGTTTCAACATCAACCAGTGGACTTTACGTTTTGCAACCCAAAAAATTACTAAATGTTTGCAATGTTCCAACTTCGTAGACAGGGTCCTTATAATTCACAATGACGGTGATAAGCAAACAACAAGACGTAAAAGCTGAACTGATTCATGTTATTAATCAAGTAAGCAGATTTGTTTTTGATCGTGTTATGCTGAGATATAATGTATCAGTGATTTTTTTCCCCAATTAAACATATGAACCTTTAAAAAAAGCAAAAAATATTAAGTATACTAATAGAGAGAGAGAGAGAGAGAGTAATATTTTTTTTAAAGAATATGGTTCTGTAATATTATCAAGAAAGCTATAGTAAAATCCTAAAATGTAAGAAATATAAAATAAAATTTATTACGTATGTTATTACATTAAACTCAGAAATATTTTTCTGATCATTAAATATTTTTCTAGACATATTATGCCCAATTCCTGTTACTTACTTGCTTTCAAAATCACAGTGGAGATACAGAAGTTTGAAATAAATAATAAAACACCACAAAGCTACATCCTCTATGCCAGTGGAGACATTCAAACACTCATCTGGTTCATCTGAGACTTCATAGAAATGAGTTTTATGCATTGTTAAAACACTTTCTATTCACAGCATGGCACATCACTTCCAATTCCAACAGAAGGAAAATCTACCCTCTCTAGAATGTGAACAACAATTTAAATGAAAAATGCATGACCAACCCTTATCAGATTTAAATTAACATTATTAAATAAGATAACGCTTAATGTTCTGCATTTAGTGTCACAGAACTCCAATGTACTATTTTGGAGCAACACATTTAAATCAGTCAGAGGTTTAACACTTCACACGCTCAGCATCATGAACTTTAATTACATCCTCAATTATCTTTCAAGCACAAGTTTAACAAGTACTGGATGTCCTGAAGTAGGTTTACCAGAGCTGAATCATTACCATGACTTCTGAAACTGACATTATGACATGACAAAAGTGTGTCTCTGAATGATTTTATATAGAACCTCTGTATAAATATAGACACCAACTACAATTCAAGTTCTTTAGTTAAGCAATAAAACATTCACAATCATACGGTTTATCCAAATATCATTACAGCTCAATAAACAAAAAGTTAAAGGGGTCATATGATGTTGCTAAAAAGAACATTATTTTGTGTATTTGGTGTAATGAAATGTGTTTATGCGGTTTAAGGTTCAAAAAACACATTATTTTCAACATACTGTACATTATTGTTTCTCCTCTATGCCCCGCCTTTCTGAAACGCTTAGATTTTTACAAAGCTCATCGTCTGAAAAGCGAGGTGTGCTGTGATTAGCCAGCTATCCAGTGCGTTAATTACGGACATAATTATGGATTATAATGACTTATACTGTCTTTTTACGCGTTGCGTTGCATCACGCCGCGTAAACATAAAACCATGTCTGCATTTGTGATCGGAGAAATGACAAACAACAAGCGCTACTCTACACTGCCCAAAACTCGCGTTTGAATCATCAGTGGCAAATTCTTTAAATATAAAAAACGTACTTACAGTCTGTGAGTCAGAACAGCCGGCATTGTAGTCTACTCTACCAGGATCAGGAAACAGTCCTCCATAAAATGTGCTGCACACATCTGAATATTTGGTTTGAAGTGTTCTGGAACAGTGTTGTAAATACAACTTAACCACTGATTTCTAGTCGTGTCCTCTTTTGGAAGACCAAACAAAGTAGTTTCACTTTCACAACGAAACACAGGGTCACACAAGGTGGGCTAGAGTGAGCCGTTTTAGGTAGCCCCCGGCCTCTGCTCACTGTAGGCTGCCGCCGCTCACTCTAAGTCGCCGTGTGTGACGCTGTGTTTCGTTATGAAAGCGAAAACCAAGAGGTATTCGGCCAATCATAATGCACTGGATAGCTGGCCAATCACAGCACACCTTGCTTTTCAGACCGATGAGCTTTGGCGGGGCATAGAAGAGAAACAATAATGTACAGTATGTGTAAAATAACGTGTTTTTTTAACCTTAAACCGCATAAACACATTTCATTACACCAAATACACAAAATAATGTTCTTTTTAGCAACATCATATTACCCCTTTAAACAGTTACCTTGTCTATTTTTGATCTGCCAATGAAAATAGTTCCTACATACCCAAAGTAGTAACCATTGCGTGTCTTTAAGCTACAGTTTCGTTTCAGAATTAATCTGTTTTAGAATGAATCACTGCATGAAAAATAACTGCTTTCGCAAGAATAAAAAACGCACCAACAATTGTCATAAACACCAGCAATTACTTTAAAACCAATAATGGCATTCAAGAACCACATACAGCATACAGCAAATATGCACCTCTGAGAGGTATATACATCAATGTTCTGCTTACCTCTTTGCTTTGGGCATTGACGCTGGGCACAGTTTCTGTTGGTCCAATGGTACTGGGAGGGCCAGTGAGATTCCATTCATAAACTGGAGGAAAAGGTTCCCTGGTTTTAAGGCTTGACGGCTCTATGGGCTTATCCTCATTATCCTGGAGGCTCACTTCATAAAATTCTTGGATATCTGAAAGAATTATTAGGTTGCATAATGAAATGCATGTAATTAATAAGCCACCAACAGAACTATAATCCCTACAAATGTTTACAGAATCAAAGTCAGAATCAAAGATACAAACTTTTATGAAAATGCAGATTTCACATTATTTGCACTTTGATGCCTTACTAGAACAAATTTAAACCCATTTTGCAGATACTCATTTACATGGCCAAGTGTAAATGGATAAGAATGAGATCCGTAAAAACATGAGCAAGTGTAAATACATTAATGATGTTTAACCTCAAAATTACAACCTGTATATGGCTTGAAGTCCTAACATTGCAAGACAAAGGAATTTGTTATAGCCTGACTCTTATCTTACGTAACAATGATAAAATTACTGATAAAATAAGTACTAGTGCAGCCAGAGTTCATTTAGGTGTAGATTTCAGATAAGCCAAGCCCAAATTGAATTCAGACAGCATTAGTCTTACTCTTACGCTATCAATAACTACAAAGAGTCAGTAGCGTCATACTCGTTTTGTGTGTGTGTGTCTGTGTGTGTGTGTGTGTGTGTGTGTGTCTGGATCTAATAATTTATTCAGAAATACATTAAACACATACAAATGATGATACATGTGCTCCGTTTTCAATTACAGTTCAGTTGTAAATTGTTCATGAGTCATCAAGTCAAAAAGTCTAGCTAGTGTATCAGTAAAAGTTTAGTGGTGGTAACCAGATGGTTGCTGGTTGGTGCAACTGACCACTTGAGAAAGGCATGTTGCTCTGGGGTGATTGTACTTACAAATACAATACAATACACTTTTTACAAGTTGTTTTGGATAAATGCATCATGGATAAACAGTTATAGACTACTGCTACTAAATTTTACACCAAAAATAATGGCTGCACCAAGAAGGAGTCATCTATTGACCATTACACTTTCTTCAATACGGCATTACAACATTTTATTGAAAAAGCAAATTGCATTCATGTTTACATTTTCTAAAAGTATTGCACACCATGTCTACCCACACATAGCAGCAAACATGTATGTAACATACTGAGGACTTCTGTGTGCAGTGGAGTGAGATTCTGATTAAGTCATGTTTAAAAACAATAACATTATTTTAACTTTTCAGAGATACCGGAGTCTCCATAAATGTTTTCAGTCAGATGGACAAATAATAACACCATGAAACATGAATACACTTTATGGTTGCAAACAGCACTTCCCTGTATTCATGCAGAGTCCAGGCCAAACTAAACGATGGGAGTTTAAATCGTGGGAAAATAATGGTAGAGATGCGCTGAGTTGTAACCGTCTGTGCACAGCAAAACATTAACTGAATAGAGCAATGATGCATTTCAAATGCCTCTTAATTAAGTACTAAAAGACTTTAGTAAGTATGCACCACAGTGCTTTGATTTGTCCAGTGGGGGATATAAGGATGTTCTAAATTACAATAGGGTAGGCCATACTACACTCTAAAAATCTGTTAAAATATGGCGCAATGTACTGTATTATTATGATCCATATTGATTTTTTACAAGTGTTTTATCTGTATTTTGAATTTTGCACTGCATTGCATTGTGTTTTAGTTAACGGAAATGTCTGTAATATTAATGGATAATGTCCTGGCAGAAAATTACCAGTACATTTTCCATTTTTAACAGTACTGTAAACAGTTTACAACTGCCACAGATTCATTACAAAATCTATTTTTCAAAAATATCACACCACAACCTTTTTTGAAGATGCCCACTAAAGTCAGTGCAAAGAGCAGCCAGTATAAAACAAATATACAAAAACATTCCAAGTTCTTTTTATAGCTATTTCTGAATATGTTCTGTTGGCCTTTTTTAACAGTAAAAAGCTTATCACCACCAATTTCCTCTTCCATTTGATCTTAATTGCATAAACTCCCAAAAGAGCCTGCTTAAAAGGGAAACTCAAAGGATTTTCCCAAATTGACAAAAATTTACTTGAAATTACTGCACACAAAACACTATTTGGACTACATTCCCAGCAAGTACAAGCCTAGGGAAAAATAGGTCAAATAGATGAAATATTTTACAACTAAGCATAAAAAAAACGACAGAGCTTTCCATTCCTAAAACCGATCTTAGCACAACAAGACAAGTGTTAAGAAACTTCCTTGAGGAAAACATGTTTGTTCTAGCAGCAACTTACCTATGAGGGACTGGAAGAGTGTACTCTGAAATATATTTATGACTCTCTCAATTGAATGTCTGAGATGAGGGTCTCCAGTCTGACTGAGTTTCGTTCGGTATTCCTCCAGAAGCTGCAGTGCCCTCTGAGCATCTGAAAAACACATTATAAAAACCCTGCTGAGAAACACTGGCCAAACATAACAAAGAAAAAATATATTTTTAAATATATTCAGAATACATTTTGTCCCATAACTTATAAATTAAAATACTGGCTACACAGCATTTTAAATATGCACATTTTAAAGAAACCTTACCTTTCTTTCTCACTGGCATGATCAAGACTCAAAGATTCAAAGTCCCACAACTGTTAAAGGGCGACTGCTGTAAACCATCGGAATGAATGACTGATCACTTTCACTTTCAGTCGCGTCACTTCGATTTCGTTGTGATCAACAATCACCGGTGATCGCTGACCGGGTCAGACTGACATGTGAAAGCTCGATATCAACAATCCTCCAATCCAATAAAACTGTTAGTGACCGCTTCACTCATAACCCTGTCAGATGCGGCAGGACCCCCGTGGACACTTTCAAACAACTCTCAACTTTGACCAACTTTCTGCAGAACGAATGAATGGAGTAAATCAGCAAATCGCAGCAAAGTGCATTACAAAGATTCGGGAAAACTGTTTCCGATCTGTTGCAAAGGAAGTGGTAGAATAGGCAGAAGTACTAATAATCCCTGCTGAAGTGCAGGTAAAGTTCACACGCAGACGGTTCCCGTTCATACATCTCTCCCGTTCCCCCCTGACTGGAGTCTTGGATCCGCACACGTCCGTAATCCAAACTTCTTTAGCGCACCACTTCCTCTTTCTTCTAGTGTGCCCGAAATTCCCAAACTTTCCTGCAAAATGGCGACCTTGATATGCAAACAGATCACATGATCTACTGATCTACTGCCTTCCCTCTGCGCTCGAAGGAGTCAGCGCTCAGGTTTCTTCACTCAGCTGCTGCGAGAAAGCAGCCGGTGAAAGAGCTCTTTATTAAGTTTATCCTCACTTTAAGTAATGAAATCTGGAGAAATTATATAAGAACCATAGAACACCAATCTTGTTCAATGTATATGAGTTTACTGTGCTAGTACAGCAGAATATAGGCCTATATGTTTGTTGTTTAAATTTGTTTTAAACCAACAAAGCAATTTTTATCTATATGGAGCATATAGGCCTATGTCTTTATTTATCTGTCGGTAGATGTACCATCTCATGACATCTGATCAAGACTCATAATCCATCAGCCTGCTTCTGCTGATGAAATGGCTGCGATTGAGGTTTATAGTCTCTTGAACGGCCAGCTGGAATTATCAAAATCCTGCTATACTTACTGATTGTCATTGGTACTATCACCCAGAAGTATAAAAATGAAAGAAGACTTAGTCATTTTATTACACATCACTAAGTTCCATTTTTATGATTTGAGTGGAGTTCCAAGAGTGCTGATATTTCGTAAATAATAGGCTACTGGACATTTTACAACTTTTTAATTTCTGGTTTTTCATTTTCATTGAAAGAGAGAAAATATATGCCATAACTGATCAATTTTAAATTAATTTTAAAGTTATTTGATATGAATAACTTTATAGAACTAAATATTAATATAGGAACCCCAGAATAATAGGCCTACAGTATTTGAATAATATGTTCACATGTGCCTGCTTCAATGGAAAAACTGCACCGGTCACACATTATATGCATTCATTCACCACTTATTTAGTGTTTTGTGAAAATAATTAACATATATTTTAATTGTTTATTTTTGTACGTTTTTTTTTTTTTCAGATTGAGGCAACTTGTCATATTTGCATTGTGGCATCCAATCAAAGGCATACTGTTACCAGCAAAGACCAAGTCTGGCTAAGACTGGTTTTTGTTAGTTGTTTTGATGTTTGAAATGGCTTTTGTCAATTGACTCTTGTGAAGGGTGGATGTCGAGTCACAGGGTGCTGTCACATTGCCAAAGCTTGGGTGGGGTGAAGTCTGCCACACACAAAAAAAACAGCGGTGTCTTTTTAAACGCCCATTCGAGTCAGTGGTTATTTTCCAGAGCATTTCAGACACAAATAAACTATGCTATGAATGACTATACGAGCAGAAAATATTCACAGATTTACAATGATCCATTGAAGGAAAATGTGTGCAAATTGAAAGTCAACTGAATACTATGTCTGAGGAGTATTTCCACAGTTCACACCGCCCACACAATTCGACAAGCCTTGACTTGTTGTAATGTCTTGTTATGCTTATAATGAATGTATTCTTAGTATACAAATTCTACTATACTGTTTCTTAGAACCTGATTCCCATAGCATTGCTTATGACCCAGACTGTATAACGGCCATACACGTGAAATAATAACATCATTGATTTGATGTTATTAAGTACTTGAAACCCCAGTTCACCTCTGATATGCATGTAGAATTTCCTTTCAATTTCTTAATGATTTGTGGAAAGTTACTTGATTTTCAGCTGCTTTTAATAAATAAAGCTTTCATCCTTCGCTGACTATGTATAATTACAGTTGCACACACCCTCTGCTTTCTTTGGAGGCATGTTAAGTGAAGAGCTTTGACATGGAATGCATGGCTGTAACCGGACCTGAGCACTTGCAACCCTTCATTTTGAAGCAGGGGGCTTTACATCACATGGATTGTCTCATAATAAAGAGCATTTTAAAACACTATTGGAATATACATCAAGGGTATGTATAAGATTCATACATAGATCCAGAACATAAATTTCAGACTACAGACCACCCACAGTCTGTTCACTGATCTCCAAACACATATTGCAAACAGAAAATAGCAAGAGTTGGTTGATACTGCCAGATTTAATCTGATTGGCTGGTGCTACACAACTTCTGGGATTAGTTCAACTGGAAACAGGGTTTACAGGGTTGAGGCAATAAGCGCTTTTGAGGAATAACTCATTTCTGGATTTGGTATTCTGAGTTTCACTATGTAAACTACTTAGTAAAGTGTATATTCCAGAACAGATATTCAATTTTGTTTTTGAGTATGTCTGTGAAAAAAATCTGGATTTATTTATTTTAGATGGACAGAATTGCTGAATCCAAATGACAAAATTTGCTCTTATTTTATTATGGGGTGCGGGTATCTGTACAGCTGGACCAACACTGCCATGCAATAGTTGTCTATAACCAGTCTGTTATTTTATATATCATGATATCAGATGAATCTGCACCATGATTGGTCGTTTTTCATGTCGGTCAGACAAACTTTATACTTTATACTGATAGATAGTCAAAAGTCTGGCTATGTGAGATTAGAAGCCGCTAACTTAAGAATGCCTTTTAACATACATTTTCTATGTAAATAGCACATCAACAAGGGGAGTGTGTGACAAAGTTAACCATAACAGTGCTATATAGCACTAGATCTTGGATTTGAAGGCTAATACAATTTATAGTCCCCTCATATAAGCCATAATATATATATATATATATATATATATATATATTCTACTGTAAATATGTTTATTGACAGAAACTGGGAGTATTAATGTATTAAATTAACCACAATTATATTTGTGATTCCAGATGTTTCAAGAACAGTATGTTGTGGTGGAAAATAAAAAGCGTAAAAGAAAAGAAATATTCAGTTTATGCCATGATTGTGTGTGTGATTTTTTAAAAAGCAGTTTAAGTTAGATTATTTGAATAAAACTTCATTTAAATAATTTTAAGTTGTCCTGCAGTCTCCTCAGAACTTTGCTTTTTGGGCCCAGACCCCTGATTGAGAACCACTGCTATAAAGTAAACAGCAATTATCATATGTGACTGTCTCATTGAATTGTATAGGCAGGCTAAAATGATTCTTGGCACCCTGGAAGCAATTAATCACACAACACTAATGATCCCAGTCAAAGAATGCTAAGAGATTATTGTCATCTCATTTCTCATCTCACCTTGCACTGGCAAATTGTTAACAGCCACAATAGTGTCATATCTGACACTCAATTTCCATTAGAGGCACTTTCAGATTTTCTGCTCTCTGAATACATCTGATGTGATTTCTACAAACCATCAACCTGATGGTTATTATCAGATATATTTTTAAATGGCCTTCATATTATAATAAATGCATGATTTGTTTCATTAGATTAATAGTTTATATTGTATCAGTTCATGGACTTTCACCTTCATGGTGTCTGTTTAATGCCAATTTTAGACATTCTTTTGAAAATGCATGAATTTTTCACTAGACTTATTATATCAAACAATAATATGACTAGTAGCACTGCCTTTTTCCATTTAGTGGAATCCTTTGTGCTTTCTAGCATTGTGTTATGTCTGAAGATGGCAAGGTTTGAATGCTTCATAGCAGACTCAGGAATAACAATAATAATCAAGTAATATGCATAAAAATTGTGTTTCATTTTCTTAAGCAGCAGTATTGCATCACTCAGAGTAGATCTCATTAGTGAGAAAGCAGAGATCCAGCAGTTAAGCTGCAGATCAGCAGCACTGACAAACTGTCTCATAGAAGCACATATCATGCCTGCACCTGTTATGGGTTTTCATTATTAGAAATGAATGAATAACACCGAACAAAAGTCATTTGGTTTTAGTGACGACGTGGATTCGCGAAAGGTAGAACAAACTGTGAAGCATAGTGTAGCATTACATGAAACAGAAGCTCAGGTGGACACTTTCATTTGATAATAAAAGCTTGTAAGATGTAAATCAAGTTATAATACACAGTATTACACGATCTGTTTTGGATATATTTATGAAAGTGTATTCTATTTATAGAAATACTCTATATTGTAATAGGTTTGATCATTCGTTGTGCAAGGGTCTCTTTTGTTTTTCATTGATTTATAAAATCTAATAACTATATATAATTATAATTTAATTACCCAGTCAAAAAAATACACGTGGATGCATTAAGATAATGCAATATATGGAGTCAATATCCATTCATCCATTCGCTTGTTTGCTTGGCTGCAGGAGCCTGGGAGAAAATGTTGAGTTGTTAATTAATGTGTGTACTGACACCTTGTGGATACATTGATGCAGTTCTGTGCCTGTTATTTATGGTAGGCCTACAGTACATATGATGGCGAAAAGGAAAGTAAGATTTGTTCCAAAACTCTAAAGTTTGTCATATTAGTGTTACATATGTTGCTTTAATGTTATGTCATGCCATGTAAGGAACATGAAGCAACGTTATGGTGTGCTGTTGTGTATCAGTTGGTCAGAAGTCAATTAGTATGAATTATAAACCTCAAGTTGTTACAAAGCTGTATGAATGTCTTTCTTCTGTTGAATGCGAAATAAGATATTTTGAAGAATGTGCGTAATCAAACAGTTGAGGGTCACCACTGACTCCAACAGTATGGGGAAAACACTATGGAAGCAACAAATACGGGACAAACAAATGTTTGGCAAAAATATTCTTTCAATTCTTAAAATGAACTTCTTTTGTGTTTAGCAGAAAAAAATTAAATAAAGAAATTCATACAGCTCTGGAACAACTAGATGGGTGAGCAGAATTTTCATTTTTTGGTGAACTATCCTGTTAAATATCTTTTTAAAAATTCTAAAAGTATGTTTAAAAGGGAAAAATCAATTTCAAAGAATTGGGTAAACTCCAAATTTATTTAGTTATAAATTATATATCTTATATGAAATTCCTGTATTTCACTCCAGCTGATGGATTAAATGCTGATTGGATTTAGTAAATAATTAAACACCCTTAAAGGGATAGTCCAGTTGCAGGTAGCCATTGACTTCCATAGTATGGGGGAAAATACTATGCAAGTCAATGGTTACCAGCAGCTGTTGGTTACCAACATTGTTCAGAATATTTTCTTGTGGGTTAATAAGAAGAAAGAAACTCATAAAGGTTTGGAACAGCCTGAGGGTGAGGAAATGATGCCAGAATTTTTTATTTTTTATTTTTTTTTG